TCCAAAAATAATATTATATACAGAGTGTTCCATTTGAAAAATCAAAGTTGCTACTGCTTTCTAATAGAAGCGGCAACACCGCATTGTCGAAAATATTTCAGTTGGCTAGAGAATGTCCGAATATGCCCTCCATTAAATTTTCAAAGTGATCCGTTGTTTGGTTCACCAGAAAGGTCTAATGTGCCATCCACCGTGAATCAGCCTGTATATGGCTATTTTTTTTATGTGTTCATACTAGATGTCATGTCTTTGCTGGCATCAAACTAAAAAGTAGCCCCAATTTGTTCGTACCTACTGAAATATCATTTCATCATTTTGAGACAGTTTTTTTGAAGTCGATTTAGTTAATTTTATATTATATTTAGTAATTTATTTCTCGCTGCTGATACTGTGAGATAAGTTTGATTTCTGACATGCAATCGAAAATGGAACATAGTATCTCTCCGGACTAGAATTTTAATACCACTACAATCATTTAAATTCATGTATTCACCCTGCCTTCAGAATAGCGATCATAAGCTGATCCTAAAACTTTATTTATCTTACAAAAATGATTTGTACTTGTTATACATCCATATTGTGCTTTACCTTCAACAAAATCTACCTTAAATATCAACCAGATATACTCAAATAATTCATTTGTTTCCATTTTGTCTATGTAATTTTTTAGTACTTTGGATGGGCTTATTTCATGCTATTGAAAATGATACTGGTTTGCATATAGACTGATTGAGTTAGGGGTATATTATACTTATTGAGCCTAATCGGTCCCAATACCTCTTTATATTTGCAGAAAAAAGAAAAATTCGAGAAGCAAGAGTTTAAATTGGCCGCGTGTCTGTTGACCAATAGAATTGATCGTATCTACAACGGTGTTGCCAAGTGTTGCCAAAAATACGAAGTTATGAAACATTAGAAACAGTTCATTCAAGAGAGATAGCTGAAAATATAACGTTGAGTTTTTTATTTTTGGTGGGCGGCATGAATGCATAATTGATTTATTTTATTAGGGTTCATGAGCTTTCGAGAACCACTTAAAAATATAGTTTGTTAAATTCTATTTAGAACCATGGTTTTCGAGTATATTTCATTTCATATGGAGAATTTTTTCATTAATTTGAACGTTAACGGGTTCATATACACTCCCGTTATTAATATTCCTGTGATATCAACATGAAAATGTCTACTGCCGAAGATATTTCAAAAATTACGTTTTTATTGCGTTTTGAGTTATTTGGATCCGATGTATAATCAATTCTCCCCTCCAATGCATTTCTTGCACTTGTTTCTTAGATTTA